CGCAACATCCTGGTAGCTGCAGCAGCCCTTGGCGATGGAGATGACAAGTTGAACGAAGAGGTCACAAAATCAAACAACAGGTGTTGTGTGTGTGTGTGGGTGATTTGACCTCGTGCAGAGGAGTAGAAGCGTGCAACACATGGGGTCAAAGGAGCGCTCGTGGATTGCGGCTGTCGAAGATGAGAGGGCGCTTCAGATCTTAGAGAGGGAATTCGTTCCTCTAGTCTATCGTGCAATTGACTCAATAGCATGCGAAAATCAGGCCCACCTGTCAGTGAGCCAACTGCATAGCAGTTTCCTACAAAAGGATCTCATCACTCGAGAGGGAGGGGATGGAAACTATGCCCATGCTCCATTACGCAAGAAGTTGTTTCTTGCATCATTGGTTAACGAGCCAACAACACCATTTCTCAGGTAGAAACCGTTTCCTTCTAGTATTTCCTTGTTGATTCTCCTTTGACGTCAGCAAAATACTTTTGTGGCATGCTAATTAATTCTATGAAAACTATCTTATGGCTTATTTAGTAGAACTTATTTTGGCTCTAGTTCTTATGAGGAGTTGAAGCCGATGAAGCCATTTTTTTTAGTTTTCGCCGGCCTCTAGCGCATAATATTATTCCTTGACGCCCAAATCATTTTAGGAGAAGAAACCTTATCAAATAGGGCCTTATTCATTAGTAGCATATTTGGTTCCCGCCGTCACCAAAATATGGCTACCATACCTTTTGGCGGAGCGGCTTGGTAAGTTAATAAACCTAGACATGCCACTGCTTTTTCACCTAGTTGGAGCAGAAGTTCTCACCACAAGTGTGACATCCAATTTTGGCTACTAGGGCCGAAACCAAACACAGTCTAGGTTAAGACTATCCTGTGTGACGAGACTTTATTGTGCCACAACTTTTTATTTATTGTTCCTAAACTAAATTTTGGTGAGAGGTTTACATTTCATCGCTCAAGTCTTTGCTCTGCTAACCAAAAAAGTAGAAGAAACTAGAAAAAAAAAGTCGGACTTGCTAACGCCTAAACGTCCGAACCGGACGCTAGCGTCCAGACGCTGCCCGCACAGGGAGCGAACGAGCGCCTAGCTGCCGGGCTCGCAAGGGAGCGCACCAGTAGTGGTCCCGTGCCGCCCCGGACGTCACCCACGCCACCCAGACGTCGTCCGCGCCGCCGTCCGCTTCCCACGCGCATCTCATGTCAACACTTGTTCTACTTTTAAAATATTTAAATGCAACAATTGCAACATACAAAATAAGACATATGAACCACTTGAAAACAAGCGTTTGAAACACTTGCAAAACGTCTGAAAAACATTTAAAAATCATTGTAAACATATGCAATATCCAGAAGAAACACCTGAAAACACTTGAAACATATGCTTGCAACATGCATGTATATACAACATTTACATCTACTTTTGCAACATCCAGACAAAATATTTGCAACATTCGTCTGGAATAGATGAAACATTTGGAACATACACTTGAAACATTCGTGAGTAGCCATTACAACATGTGCAACATCTTGATCTACTTTTGCAACATCAATATACAACACTTGAAACATACATCGAAAACATCTGAAACACTTGAAACATACTATTGTAACATGAGCTTTCAGCGTAGCATCTGCTTACTGCTTGGACGAATAGAGGCTCATCGACGCATATCTCGAAACCGCGGAGGTCGCCACTGTGGAGCTCGTCGGCGGCACGGACCTCGACAGGGGCAAGGGCAGGTGGATGGAGCACGGCCACGACTAGGAGGAGTGAGTCCGGGAGCAAGCTAGTGAGCGCCTAGCGTGTCGGGCTCGCCGTGCACAACGCGGGCGGGCGACGGGGGCGCGAGCGGAGGCGACGTGGGCGAGGATGGGGCCCACGAGCAGAGCTGAGCGGGTGATGCGGGTGGAGGCAGCGTGGTCGAGTATGGGGTCCGTCCGTCCGGACTGACGGAGGGTTTCCGGAAAAAAAATAGTTCCTCGTTCCCTCGTGTTACGTAGCGCGAGCGCAAATCCGGGGTAAGGTAGCGCTCCATCGTGCTAAAATCTCGTTACGCATTCACGCTTGTGCTGCTATCTTCCTCGACTTCCGGAGTTTGAACTTTGACGGCCGTTTTTTCGCTGTTGGCAGCAAAGACGCCTGCTTTTCTCGTATGAACTGACCTTACTTCTGTCTCTGACTGAGTTCTCGGTCTCTTGGCTCTTGGCTCTTGCCATGCCTCCCGTCTCCTCCACATTTTCCAGTCTCCCCTCGCTGAAAAATAAGTACAGAAAATTCCTAGTCACTACTATATATACGAAATAAAAAATAAATAAAGAGAATATCGTGCGTGAAGCAGAAAGCTCCGGCTCCGTGCGAAGAGGATAGATGGATAAGCAACGAGTGGGCCTCGATGAGGAGAAACCTGGGCCACTGACCGGCGCCGCATCGGGAGCCTTCGTTTCGCCACGGTTCAGTTCACTACCACGCGCGAAGAAGGCCCACCACCCAAGTGCGTGTTCCTGAGTGGGAGATGACGAGCCCAATGGTGGCCACCCCCGTCCAGCTCCGCACAACCGGCCGCCTCAGCTTCTGCTGCTCCTTTCCCAGCGCACCAGGGACAGCCACCACCACCAGGCGGCGGCGATTCGCGGCGGTGAGGGCGTCGGCGGAGACGATGGCGACGGAGAAGCTGGGCATCAAGGTGGAGCGCAACCCGCCCGAGTCCCGCCTCTCCGAGCTCGGCGTCCGCCAGTGGCCCAAGTAAGCGAGCGACCCGCCCTCCCTCCCTCCTCCCGGGCGTCTCGATCTCTCAGTCTCTGATCCCGCCCGCCGTCCTACGCCGCTACACTGTGCCCGTGCGGCCGTGCCCTTGCTGACGGCGACCTGCTGGTGAATGAATTGATCGATCAGGTGGGGGTGCGAGAAGAGCAAGTTCCCGTGGACCTACTCCGCCAAGGAGACGTGCTACCTGCTGCAGGGGAAGGTGAAGGTGTACCCCGAGGGTCACGGGGAGGAGTTCGTGGAGATCGCCGCGGGGGACCTTGTCGTCTTCCCCAAGGGCATGAGCTGCACCTGGGACGTCGCCGAGGCCGTCGACAAGCACTACAACTTCGAGTAGCCCGTAGCCGCCGCCGCCGCCGACGTCTGGTACGCAGTGGCAGTAATTGGTGATGGCCTGGTCCAAATGTTTGGATTGCTCCCGCTAGCTTCCTAGTTCCTCCTACCTTGTGCTTGTATTGTAGACTTGCTGTGCTCTTGTACGCTGAACCTCTGACGCTCCATTCAAGAGTTAAACAGCGTAATGAAGCTCCGGATTAGCGGACTACAATGTTGCACTATCTGTTTCAGATTTGAGGCAGCGCCTATTCACACTGACATTCTGTTAGGCGTTTTACTCCTTATGACAACTTAACAAGTGGAACCTGCACATGTGATTCATGCCCTCAAGGCCTCAACCTGCCTCACTTGACTCTTCTGTAAACCATCTACAGTTCTATTTTCTCATGAGGAGGAAGATGTTCGCATATGAAGGCCATCAAGGCAGACGCAGCAAGCGTTCTAGCCCCACTACTAAAAACTTTTAGAATGACTGGAATGCACTGTGCTAGATACTAGTATAGTAGTATTATTTGCTATTTTTGTGCATTAATCTGATATGGTTAATGGTTATCATTGACAACCCTAAGTTGAAACGTGCTTAAAATGGTTATTAAGCCCCAATTGTAGCACTCTCTTGATAGTATTCACCTGGAGCCTTGGAGGCATAACTTCTTATGTAACAGCATGGTGTTTTCATTAGTTTTCACAGAAATATTTCTTAGGACAATTACAGTATCATACTCACACAATTCCTATATAACTAACCTAAACACTTCATCTTAACGTGCAAACCTTATTTAAATATGTTTTGACTTGTTCAAATATTTTCCTCTGCTATTTCAGAAAAGGTAGAAAATTTTTGCTAGCTTTGTGCTGTAGCGCTAGTGTCTCTATTACCCAAGTGTAGTAACATTGGAATCATAGCACGCCTCTGTCTCCATTGTCCAAGCAACATTGGAATCATCAAACACTTCCACTCCAGATGCTAGGTTGTTGGAACTATCTAGCACTAGAATACATATTGGCAAGGTCTGTTGTCTTCTTGATGACATAAGAAAAAAAGCTACAGCGCAATAGCGCATCACCACCACCAGTGGTCCTGTTGCCCACCAACCTGGTAGAATTCTTTCTGGAGGATCTCATGGAACTATCGGCACCATCTCCATCTGTATTTCGCAACGGTGAGGGTCCTCTCTCCCCTGATAACATGGTGCATTCCTACATCTCTCACATGCTCTTGGAGGACAGCATTGATGATCAAATCTTGTGCCAATACTATGATCACCCTGCGTTACTCTAAACGCAGCAGGCCTTAGCCCATATTCTCTCCTCCCCTTCCTCCACTGCTAAAAACAGCACAATCAACAATGGGAACTCAGAGGGGACTGAGGGTTTGTTGCATGGTTCTAGTGGTGATCCAACCAGTGTCAGCTTGGGCTTTGACATGGGTGCTGATGTGGTGGGGTTACTCCAGATGCAGGAGGCCTTAGCCCATGTTCTCTCCTCCCCTTCCCCCAGCACTAAAAACAGCTCAATCAACAAGGGGAACTCAGAGGGGAGTGAGGGTTTGTTGCATGGTTCTAGTGGTGATCCAACCAGGGTTAGCTTGGGCTTCGACAAGGGTGCTGATGCGGTGGGGGCATTTTTGAAGGGCATGGAAGAGGGTAGGAAGTTCTTACCAAGGGACAACAAGGGTGCTGATGTGGTGGGGGCATTCTTTAAGGGCATGCAAGAGGGTAGGCAGTTCTTACCAAGGGGCAACAGTTTGTTAAAGGATGATCACATGAACCAAAAGTTCGGGGAACCCCGTGACCAAAGAGGGTTTAAGAAGAGGTGTAACAGGTGTGAGCATCTAGAGGAGGTAGGGAGGTGTAACAAGTGTGAGCATCTGGAGGAGGTAGGCAGGACCAGCAAAGGTATCATGACGATGGAGGGGCCAGAAGAGATTGGCATGCAGATTTTTGACGATATGTCTCTGTGTGGATATGAGACATTTGTCAGGGACATGGAGAAGTTGCGCATCGCCATGAACAATAAGGTAGTGAAGAACAACAGAAAGGGCTGTAGCAAGGTAGCAAGGGATCTGGTGGACCTACACACTTTGTTGATCCATTGTGCACAAGCGGTGGACACCGGCAATCTCAAGATTGCAGTTGAGCTACTGAAGCAGATCAAACAGCACGCATCAGCAACAGGGGATGCCACACAGCGGTTAGCTCTATGTTTCTCCAAGGGGCTAGAGGCCCGGCTAGTGGGCACAGGAAGCCAGGTTTCGAAGTTGCTCATGGCAGAGCGACCATCAGCTGTGGAGTTCCGCAAGGCCTACAGCATTTACATAGCAGCCTGCTCCTTCAACAAGGTAGCACACATTTTTTCCACAAGGAGCATCATGCAGACCATGGTGGGGAAGAACGGGCTGCACATTGTGGACTATGGTGCTATGAATTATGAGTTCCAGTGGGCAGACTTGATCCGGTTGCTGGCAAACAGAAACAGAGAAGGTGACCCACCTGAGATGAAGATCACCGCCATTAGCGGTTACCAGCCTAGGGCCTGTCCAAGTCAATGGATTGAGGAGCAAGAGCACCGGCTCAACATGTGTGCTAGTGAGTTTGGCATGCCATTCACATTTCGAGCCATCACAATGAAGCGGGAGTTAGTTTCCATAGAGAACTTGAATATAGACGAAGATGAGGTGCTTGTCGTGAATGACATCTTTAATTTGAGCAGCTTGGTGGGCGAGAGCTCATTCTTTGGTGACTTGAGTCCTAGGGATACTGTCCTCAATAACATAAGGAAGATGAAGCCCAATATTTTCATCCAGAGCGTTTTGAATTTCTCACATGGTACCTCCTTCTTGTCACGGTTCCGAGAGGCACTGTTTTGTTACTCAGCACTGTTTGACATGTTAGACACAATTGTCCCACGGGACAGTGAACAACGATTGGTGCTGGAGCAGGGCATGCTTGGGCGTTGGGCACTGAACGCCATCGCCTGTGACGGTGTGGACCTCATTGACCGCCCTGAGAAGTATAGACGGTGGCAGGTGAGGAATCGACAGGCCGGTCTGAGGCAGCTGCCGCTCGATCCAGACATTGTTAAGGAACTAAAGGACATGGTCAAGAAGCACCACCACAAGAACTTTTTGCTCAGCGAAGATGACCAGTGGCTATTGCAAGGATGGAAAGGTCGCGTCCTCTTTGCCCACTCGACATGGGTAGCAAACGACGCATCTTCTGAATGAAGCTTTAGTTTCTTGCTGCTAAATGATAACACGGTCTTCAGATGCTCCCTGAGAACCATTTATCCATGTACACTGTTGTAGTTTAGTCATTCAGTGCTGGTGCAGCGGCTCCTAAAAAGCAGTTTATATTGTTATCATGTCATTGATGTACTGGTATTCAGGACGTACATTAGACTAGATAACTGCCAGTGCCAATTAATGTTCTAGTTAGAATGTTCGGCTTTGGTCTTGAACTCTATCTATAGAACAAAAATCTTCAGCACAAGTTTCTTGCAGCAGGCAGCAGCAGAAAACAACTGCTGCTCTAGGGGCGACTTCATTGAACCAGTCAATTAATTACTGTGTGCATGTGATGAGTTTAATGGGCTAATAACTTTTTACAGTAACCTAATACTATAGTATCAGGTTTGTTCGTGATCAACTAGGCAGTACTTGCACTTGCTATTCAAGATTGATGTGCACGTATTAGTTTCATAAAGCTGTGTGTGCATGTTTCATCTGCATCATTTTTCTATGTATCTGATCACAAACGGGCAGCACTTGATGGTTGTTTGCTTGCTAGAAGGTTTAATTCTGAAATGTTCACCTACATCAACGTTGAGATTTGCAACTGCATTATTAAAAGCTAGTCCATCACGGCATCATGCCTTGCTCCTGCACGGGCTATTAATTTCTATAAGAAATGTTAAAAGTCCATGGATAGATTTGGGATTCAAAGTTAATCAAAACTGTTTATCTTTTCTCTCTCGTTTGTTTAGATTCTAACACAACGCTCACATAGATATTTTTATGTTTATCTTATTGTGATAAGACTATAATTACTAATTACTCTATATCCATTTTCATCTCCACTAGTTTTTCCCCTTTTGCATCATACGAGTAATTCATACCTCCATGAATGTTCCTCTGTCTTTAGTTGAGGATTTCTATATGAAAACATCAATTGATTTTTGTTAAACCATGAAATTTGTGTTGATAGTGTATTTATTTGGCCTTGTAGATGTTAATATATTTGTTACAATAAATTTTGCCAGGCTAGAGGAGCTTGACTTAGGCCAAAAACTAAAACGAGCTTTATATTAGAACAGAGGGAGTATATGAATACTTTGCAATAGTTTTTCATAGCAGTGGAGGCAGTTAATTAGATGCACATCTATTTTAATACTAGCGGTGATGGGAAATTTATATGCAATTTTAGGGTTTACTTTAGAATTTTTCATATGATGTAGATGGGTAATTTTTAAATGAAGGTTTAGGGGTCCCTTTAGGTTCATGTAGTAGCAGATGCAGATAATTTTGCTAGAAAACTGAATAGATCCAATGATAGATAAAATAAAATAAAAATACCAAATGGTTATTATTGTTGATGGTGACTAGCATATACCTAGTTGATGGTCAGATGCCTGTTTTTGCGATAGTTTATAAGATTATTTCTCTGGTGTACATATCGCATGAGAATTAGCGTGTAAGATCTGGAAAGAGTTAAGATGACTAATTGACTACCAAACAAATCATGACCATGATTACTCCGCCCAAAAGATGTACTTCTTCTAGAAAGTTTAAGAAAACAAATGGGGCAATCATTCCACATTCGAGATGTACTTCTAGATGTACTTTAATTTATAGATAGAGTAAATAATCATAGAATTATCCACCGCAACTTGAGATGGATTTCCCTGTAAATTTATTTTAGTTTTTCACTTTTCAGACAATTTCCCTGTATGAGGTGTATGGTGACTATCATATTTTTGTTGTCAGTGTCATGTATGTATCATCTATGTGAGCTCTTTCTTATTCTGTAGCCTCATGTTGGGTTCATCGTGCACATAGCAGTAAAGCCAAAACACCTCTAGCTGTCCAAGCCTATTTAACCTCATCGGCAACCGGCAACACACTTGCAATGCCCCGGTCGCCCCGGAGGAGCAAGATCTTCTGCTGGACCTCATCGCTCATGGAACCCACCGCAGCACTGCCCCGCTCCTTCAGCAACAACCTCTGCCCAACGCTCCACCTCTACGGCAGCCAAGACGATAATGTTCTCCCCTTCATCTCGCGCATGCTCATGGAGGACGACGCCGTCGACGAGTGCTTGTACCAGCAGTACCCTGACCACAATCCCGCACTCCTCCAGACCCAGCAGCTCTTCGCCCAGGTCCTTTCCGACACCTCCTCCAGCGCCCTGCAGGCCGGCACCCAAGGCAACGACCTCCAGGATCCACCCTCCTTGAATAGCACGGCCACGGGCACGGTGGAGCCGGCCAATACCTTGTCGCCAGCTGCGGGCAGCAGCTGCTTCAAGGACGCGGTGAGCATGGCGTTCTTAAGAGGCATGGAAGAGGCAAACAGATTCTTACCCGGCGCCGGCGGCTACACGGCGGATTGCAGGGGCAGGAAGAAGAGGCTTGACGTTGACGGAGATAACGAGGCGGCGGAGGGCAGGAGCAGCAAGCAAATGGCAGCTGATGGCGAGGAGTCGGAGGAAGCCGCCGCGCGAGAGATGCTAGACAAGCTGATGCTCAACGGCGACGACGAACCAATCCTCGCCGACGACATGCAGGAGCTGCGCGCTGCCATGGATATGGCCAAGACACCGCCGGGGAGGCCGGCCGGTGCCAGGGCGGATCAGGATCAGCAGCAGCAGGCGGTGGACCTCCACTCCATGCTCATCCGCTGCGCCGACGCTGTGGCCGACAACGACCGCCGCAGAGCGGCCGATCTTCTGCAGCGGATTAGGCACCACTCTTCGCCGAGCGGGAACGCCACGCAGCGGCTGGCGCACTGCTTCGCCGAGGGGCTGCAGGTGCGGCTCAACGGCACGGGGAACCTGCACTACCGGTCGTCATCGTTAATGCCGAAAAGCGCCTCCTCGGGTGTCCAGCTCAAGGCGATGCAGTTCTTCATGGCCTCTTGCTGCTTCCTCCCGGTGAACATCCTCTTCTCCAACATGTCCATCTACAAAGCTGCCGCTGGGAGGAAGAAGCTGCACATCGTGCACTACGGTCTGGACCACGGGCTCCAGTGGGCGACCCTGCTCCGGTGGCTCGCGCGCAGGGAGGGCGAGCCACCGGAGGTGCGGCTCACCGGCATCGACGTGCCACAGCCCGGATTCCGTCCAGCGCGGCTCATCGAGGAGGCGGGGCGCCGGCTCACCGCCTGCGCGCGCCAGCTCGGCGTGCCGTTCAGGTTCCGGGGCATCGCGGCGAAATCGGAAGCGGTCCGCGCGGGCGACCTGGACATCGATCCCGACGAGGTGCTCGTCGTCAGCAGCCTGTTCCATTTCAGGACGCTGACGGACGAGGGCACGATGGCTACTGACGGCGACGAGGCAGGCACGGACCCCATCGGCGCCATCAGAGAGATGCAGCCGTCCGTGTTCGTCCACGCGGTCCTCAACGCGTCGTACAGCACCGTCTTCTTCGCGACGCGGTTCCGGGAGGCGCTCCACAACTTCACGGCGCTGTTCGACATGATGGACACCATCTTGCCCCGGGACAATGGCAGCAGGCTGCTGTTCGAGCGGGACGTCCTCGCGCGCTGCGCCGTGAACGTCATAGCCTGCGAGGGCGCGGACCGGGTGCAGCATCCTCGGAGCTACAAGCAGTGGCAGGCGAGGAGCCGGCGGGCAGGGCTGCGGCAGCTGCCGTTGGACTGTGACATTGTTCAGACGCTCAAAGACAAGGTGAAAAGGGAATACCACGAGCATTTCGTGATCAGTGAGGATCAGCAGTGGCTTCTCCAGGCATGGAAAGGGAGGGTGCTTTACGCCATTTCCACGTGGACGGCAGACAGTGACTTGGCAAGGACTTGACGATCTTTGCTTATGCATCATGCTCGGCATAGAATATTAATTTGTGTTTCTGATGTACTCGCTCCTTTCAAAATTGTAAATCGTTCTGTCTTTTCTATATACATAGTTTTTACTATGTATTTAGACATAAGGTATATCTAGGTGTATAACAAAATCTATGAATCTAGAAAAGCCAAAACGACGTACAATTTGAAACGGATGGAGTATTTTTAGTAGTTTTCACCAATGAGATAGCTATACACCCACAAACAAAATGCTGCTGGATTTGGAGACAACTATATATTATGGCCATCTTCACAATGAAAGGGACGAAGATAACACGCGATGGGTCGCGCATTTGAGGAGCGCGCGACCCCGCCGTCCTCGTCCTCGCCCTTGCCCTCGCCTCTGGCTTCCACCACCCTTGGCTGGTGGTTCCTGCCAAGCCACCCACCTCCTGTTCTTCGACCCCGTCCTCCCCTAATCACAGGGCAGCCGAGTCGTCTCCTACCACCCCGGTGGGTGGCATGGCCGTCGCCCCCAAACCCCCTTCTAGAGCCACAGGTGAGTAAATCCCATAAACCCGGAACCCTAACACCGGCGAGCTCCTCGTCTCCAACGCCGGTGGCTGGTTAATGGGCTTATGAGCCGTAGGAGCATGCCCTCCGCGCTCTGCGCGATGGTCACGTAGTAGGGTTTGCGCAAGGAAAGGGCAGGGGAGGTTTACCAATAGATTAGGTGTTCAAAAACATTTGCTATTTGTTAAACGTCTATTGTTTACATCGTGGTAAAAATAAGTAGCGACTTCATTGGATGTAACAGCTCAATAATAATGCTTCCTGCTGGATTTCATGGAAGCTGATGTGTGTCCAGAGAAGGCTGCCACACATTTTCAATAATGGGTTCATAGTTAGAGTATTCTTTTACAGACTTCAGTGGCACTTCTGTGTGTATTGAGTGTTATGTGAGTTCTTTTCCGATGGGGTGCTAGCTACAGACTTCCCCTACAAGAATACAATCACCCTTGCACACTGAATTTCCCATCAAGTGCTACCTTTACATTTTTCAACTGTCTTCATGTTGAAGAATATGCCAATGCATATCCTTCAGCTGAGCTCAGAAAAGAAATTTTGGTACTACATGGATCTAATAAGATTTTCTGACCAGATCCAAATGCATCCCCTCCTCTTGGCCCTGTTTGCTTGTCTTATAA